TGCCCACATGTCAACTATTTCAAAATTAAATGGCACACTTTGAAATATGTCAGAGGTCATGGAAGAAAGCACAAGAAAAGTAAATAAAAAGTCCTTTGAACCAAGGGATAATAAAAGCTTAAAATATCAGAATCTCTGAGAACTCAGATGAACATTTGTAACTTAAAGTACTTGTATCAGAAAGAAGCTAGAACAACGGTCAAATTATTTTCAAATTATGTACTAGGAAGGAAAAATAAGAGTAGGAGCAGAAATATATGAAATAGAGAAAAAATAATAAAGCAAAAATTTGATAAAACCCACTCCATCTTTCATACAACTAGGACTTATATTACTTAGCAGTAGTTTTGAATTAGAAAATTTCTAAGACCTATGTATTCATCCAGGATGTGTGTGATTTATACATCTTTTGTGAGCTAAGTAGTTAAAGTTGAGTTAGCTTTGAACCAGCAATAATCTGTATGTTGCAGATCTCTGTTTAAAGTCTGTTTATAATAATAGTTATCTATTACTATAGAGATAGGCATTAAAACAGTCTTAAGCTGGGCAGGAGTGCAAGTTCAAAACTAGCTCAGCAACTTAGCAGGCCTTAGCTAACTTAGTGAGATCCTGTCTCAAAATAAAAATAAGAAAGGCTGGGTATGTGGCTCACAAGTTAAGCACCCCTGGGTTCAATTAATAGTACAAAAAAAATGAGTTTTAAGATATGTGTGTGTGTGTGTGTGTGTGTTAAAGCTTAAACATTATTAATAAAGCTGACAGCATGTAGGCACCATGACACAAATACCAGCTCAAAGGCCTAATGGATATGGAAGTTAATGAATATGGGAAAAGATTCTGGAAACTCTCAGAATTGTCTTCCAAAATTGCTTGTGTATGTATATGTACAAATATGGTCATTTGTCTGAACATTCTTAGTTTCAGCAAGGAAGACACAAAAGATGGTAAGAACCAAGGCACTGGGTAGACCTGTACTTTCTTGCTACCAATAAACTTTTAAACACAGTCACTGGAGGAAATACAAAAGGAAACTAGAACCGGGCTGTCACCACATTTGAAACTTATGTTTAGAGCTGCTGGTCTCCTGCTGCTCATTTCCCTGGGTTGGAGTTAAAACACACACACACACACACAAACACACACACAAACACACACACACACACACCCCAAAAATAAGAACACCATAGATTTATGAAGCAAGACTTAATAAAATGTAGCTTTCCAGATGCCCCCATTCTGTTTTAAGGAATGCATGTAGATTTTACAAGTGAATATTCAAGGGGATGAAGGGCAAAGGGTTGCATTTGTCATCCTTAGTCCAGTTGAGCTGCAGCAGTTGAGTTCTGTTGGGTGTGACTGGTGGTTTTGTGAAGGTGGAGGAGAAAAGGGAGGTTTCTCTTAGTAAGGTCCTAGGTCTAGTTAGGGGCTTTATACTTCCTAGTTGGTGCCTGGAATTTCCCAGCAGCTGCGGAGGCGACCAAAGCATAGCATTCTTTGGTATAGGGAAGGACTCCTAGGGGAACCATTCTTTCCCAATCCCTCCCCAAGTAGGTCTCTATGGAATCTGGTTTCCTGTCTGACACTGCAGTTCAACAATTATCCCACACTTACTCAGCTTCTGCTGAAATTCCACCCGCTTGCAATTCACGGTTGGTGACTTTAATTCTCAATTGTCCCCCCTCCCGCCCCGCCCCGCCCCGCCCAGCGCGCCAACCTGGCCTCTCTTCTTTTGGCACTGGGAATTGAACTCAGGACCTCATATATGCTAGGCTAATACTCTACCTCATTGAGCTGCATCCTCAGCCCTACCCAGCTAAATTTGCTGATCTTTTCAGCCTCCTTCCCTCCTGGCCCCTCTTACTGAGACTGTGTCCACTGAATTTACTGCAAACTTGAAGAGAGATTCCCATTGGTGCTGCGGGGTACTGCGGAGCGGGCGCGTGAATCAGGCTCAAGGACAGTGGTCAGGGGCGGGTCCGCCGCAGAAACAATGCAGGTATGAACGCCTTTAAGGGTCCTCTGTTTCACGCAAGCACGCTGATGTGCAAACACCTACATTTTACGTTTATCAGCGCTAAAGGAATGAGTGAAATTCAAAGCCAGGTTAATGAAATGTGATTCTCCAGTGAGCGCTGCCAAAATTCCTTCTTTGCCGAGACACTGTTAGTACAACTCTTAATAGAAGAGGCTAAAATCAAACTTCCCCCAGAAGTAACATAATCTGCTCAGGGTTTGGGACTCAGAAGCAGATGGAGAATGCCACAGGTCCTTATATCGCTAAAGGCAAACCCCTAAGGAGAACAAGTGGTTTTCTCCTTCCCAAGCTCTAGAAGCAGAAATAAAAGAGGAAAAGCTGCCCGCAGCTGGTAGCATTCCTCTCTACCCTCCCCGCAACCCGCTTCCCATCCCTCCAAAGATTTTTTCGAGTCTTTCCTAGTTCCCTTAGACAGAAGGAAAATAGTTTCCTAGCACACACCCGCCCGCAACCACACACACTTTCGCTCGATCCTGGCCAACGCCCCCACCTAGTGGTTTCAGTGCGCTTGTTTTGCTTCCTTCCCAGGTCGCTAAGAGAGCCTGGCAGTTTGCAAAAATAATTAAATAAGGCTCCTGCCGTGCTTGGATGGAATGTGAGGATGGGGAGGACCGCTGAAAATTGATGTAAAGGAAGCTTGAGATGCTGGAGAATTGCTGGGCAAGGGACAAGAACAGGAACTGCAGCCCAACCCCTGTCGAGAGCTTCCACTTTAAAGGAGTACACTCTCAATGCCTGGGTGTTTTATTTTCTTCATAATGCTTGATTCTATTTGAAATTATATAAATTATTTATTTGTTCATGTATTTACGGTCAGCCTCTCCTAGAATGCAGGCCGCTGGAAACCTGGGTCTGCCTCTACCCTATTGGCATCCATACTCCTAGTGCCTAGAATAATATCCTTCATAGAATAGGTGCTTTATGGTTTTTATACCTGCCTAGCTTAGAGAGCCAAGAATTAAGGAAACTTGGGTTTAGGCTGTGTCACCTTGGAGAAAAAGCTCTTCTTAGCCAGCACAGCAGTGGGTATCTGTAGTCCCAACTACTTCAGAAGCTGAGGCAGGAGGAACTCTTGAGCTCAGTCTTTCTAGACCAGCCTGGATGACATTGTGAGACTCTATTTCTAAGGGGGGGGGGGGGGTAAAAGAAAAGGTCCTTTTTGCAAAGGATCTCAATTATTTTTCCTCTAAAACTGGATGGATTAATCACATAATATTTGACTCAGAGAGTGAATGGCTCTCTTTAAAATATGCTTTCATTTAACCTGATAAATTAAATTACAGTATGGTTTTTATTAGACATCTTGGACATGCCAAACATTTAAGGGGTCTAGGAATTTCTAGTGGGGATCACTTATTTCTTAGGACTGAAGAAATATTGTCTTTTCTGGTGATTTCTTTTAAACTTTCTGATGTACATCCACATTACATTTGTTTTGTTGAGATTGGAGGAGAAACTGAGGACAGGGTGTAAATGGGATCTAAGTACTGCTATTGCTTGCTGCTGCCTATGGCTAAGGTCTTGATGTATTTTCTGAGGGCAGAGAAGGTACACTGATAATGCTAATGGCGATGGCTCCAGAGCCATTTTTTTTTTTCTTGAATTCTGATGACCTCCTTTATAGGAGTGCTGTGGGAAGGTACATGCTCAAGGGGAACTGTTTTCCTGAGTATTGAACTACTGAGAGGCTTGGAGCATTCGGGTGGAGCGGAAGGTTTAATTTCACATGCAGTAGGCTTCTGTTTGTGATACTTCTACATTTTTGTAGACAGCTTCTAGCCCCCGCTGTTGACTCACGAAGTTAAAGGAGAAGAATTGAAGGACAAGCACGAATTTCTAAACCTAGCTATGAAAAATTAGTTTTTAATGTACCAAGAGTTAAGGATAACGTGAAACCCGAAGTATAAAAAGACTGTTTTCCTTCTAAGGGGAATATTATTGGCGCCTCCTTCTAATCTGGGTGTGGCACTCAGTGGATAAGATTCCAGAGTAGAGAGGTCAGAGACTCAGGCTTGCTCCATCAAGCACTGCCCTCCAAGAATGAAGGGAAGGGGGCTTAGGAGGAGACCTAGACTGGGACACTGGGACAAAGCCTGTAACAGCATCTGAAGGTGTAGGGTTCAGTGTCGGAAATCGCACAAGCTCCAAAGCCCGCACAGAGAAGAGGACGTCCTTATCCCCATTCTCTGCCAGAACTGCGATTTCGGGTATCAGAGTCAGGAGAGGGGACAGGGGATGGGAAGAGGGGAGAGAGGGCAGTAGGACCCGGCGGGAGCTTGTTTGGCCGGGAAGGGAACGGGGCGGGAAGAAAAGAGGGAGGGAGAGAGAAAAAGCGAAGGTGATGTGGAGCAGGCGTCCGCACTCGCCGAGCCGCACGAGTTGCACGGCTCTGGCGGACTGGACCCGGACTCTATAAAAGGAGCCCATCTGCTCTGCCACTCACAGGCTTCTCCCTGGCTGGCGCTTGCCTGGTCCCTCCAGCTCTCTCAGACACCTACTCCTTCCCAGTGTTCGGCTCCAAGTACCCCAGACCCGTGCGCCCAGCGGCATGGCTCCCAGCGGTGCTGGTGGAACCAAGGTGGTGGTGGCAGCGGCGGCACCACGCCAGCAGCCACAGCTCCAGTCCCCGAATCCCCTCTCTTGCGGCCCCTTCTCCACGGGGCAGCTCGCCCAACTGGTCTGCGCGTGAAAAGAGAGGGAGGACAGCTACAGCGCAAGGCGCCCCGGAGCGCAGCTCCCAGACTTCACCCCACCCAGCTTGGCGGCTGCAACCGCCGCAGCAAAGTGCCCCAGCTTGGGGCGGGGGTCGGGAATGCAAGACCAAGATTCTTGGCTGGCCTGCAAGCTTTGGTCTCTACTGCTAGAAAACTCCTGCGGGGGGAGTGTGCAGATACAGGAGCGCCCAGGTTAGGAGATGCTGAGCCCTGAGCAATAGGGTAAGAGATCCCACTTGACCCAGCCCCTATCTTCAATCAATACCTCTCCCTTCTCCACTTTGTTTCTCCAGAGAGCAAAACCAGAGCTGGGCTGGGTGGGTCAGTTCTTCAGGTACCGGGGCTAGGACAGGGCGTGGAGAGGAGCAGTCAGAAACGCAGACGCAGCGCCAGGCGCACTGGAAGTGCAGAGGACGCGCCCGCCTGCTTGCCTGCTGCGCGGGTGACCTCTAGTTTCAGCTAGGAACCTGGGCGGAGGAGTTACAGAGGAACCCACGGAACTGACTTCAAGGCGAGACCAGACTGTGGTCTCTATGAACCTTCCATTTTCTGCTGTCCTCCTCGTCCGCTCCATGCCCAAGAGCTGCGCTCCAGAGCTAGGGCCAGAAGAGCCATGGAGGGACCGAGTGTTCAGTGCGCCCAGCCGCCGCCCGCGGGATCCCAGATCGGGGTACCCCAAGCCAACCTCTCTGCTGCTCCTTCCCACAACTGCAGCGCCTCCGAGAGCTACATTTACCAGGACTCCATTGCCCTACCCTGGAAAGTACTGCTGGTTGTGCTGCTGGCGCTCTTCACCTTGGCCACCACGCTTTCCAATGCCTTTGTGATCGCCACGGTGTATCGGACCCGGAAGCTGCACACCCCGGCTAACTATCTGATAGCTTCCCTGGCCGTCACCGACCTGCTAGTGTCCATCCTGGTGATGCCCATCAGCACTATGTACACGGTTACGGGCCGCTGGACACTGGGACAGGTGGTCTGCGACTTCTGGCTGTCGTCGGACATCACCTGTTGCACTGCTTCCATCATGCATCTCTGTGTCATCGCCCTGGACCGCTACTGGGCCATCACGGATGCCGTGGAGTATTCAGCTAAAAGGACTCCCAAAAGGGCGGCTGTCATGATCACTCTGGTGTGGGTCTTCTCCATCTCTATCTCTCTACCGCCCTTCTTCTGGCGTCAGGCCAAAGCCGAGGAAGAAGTGTTGGACTGCTTAGTGAACACCGACCACGTCCTCTACACGGTCTACTCCACGGTGGGTGCTTTCTACTTACCCACCCTGCTCCTCATCGCCCTCTATGGCCGCATCTATGTGGAAGCCCGCTCGCGGATTTTGAAACAGACGCCCAACAAGACCGGCAAGCGCTTGACCCGAGCCCAACTGATCACAGATTCCCCTGGGTCCACGTCCTCTGTCACCTCCATTAATTCGCGGGCTCCCGATGTGCCCAGCGAATCTGGGTCTCCAGTGTATGTGAACCAAGTCAAAGTGCGAGTCTCCGACGCCTTGCTGGAAAAGAAGAAACTCATGGCCGCTAGAGAGCGCAAAGCCACCAAGACCCTGGGGATAATTTTGGGAGCATTTATTGTGTGCTGGCTGCCCTTCTTCATCATCTCCCTGGTGATGCCTATCTGCAAGGATGCCTGCTGGTTCCACATGGCCATCTTTGATTTCTTCACGTGGCTAGGCTATCTAAATTCCCTCATCAATCCCATCATCTATACCATGTCCAATGAGGATTTCAAACAAGCGTTCCATAAACTGATACGTTTTAAGTGCGCAAGTTGACTTGCCAATTGCAGTGGGGTCGCCAAAGCGACCTTTGGGGACCAAGTTGGGTCTTTCCACAGGTAGGTGGAATCTTCTTTCGCTGTTACTGGGTCCGAACAAGGCTCTCTCTTCTGGGCAAGGGCAATGGATCCTGAGAAGCCAGGACAGCCCTGAGAGCTCTGAAAGGAGAACTGTTCAAACTAAATGTAGAGCTTCCCTGCTGAGGAGAAGGTTCACCTCCTCCCCTCAAACCTTGGGCTCAGCACAGATACTGCGGCAGCCAATCACAAAGGGGTTTGCAACTTAAAAATTGATGATGGATAGGTGATCCCTGCCCTGCTTTAGTATCACGGATGATGCCCTCTAAAGCCAGTGGTACTTGTAGTTGTTGTCTGAAGCCTGTCTGAGACAGATCTACAAACAGCCTGGCAGTACTTGAACTAGACACTTAATACCCTGTGTTTTGGGGAGAACATTGTGTTACAGCTTAATTTAAGAACAGTTACTTTGGCATTCTTCAGTCTTCAGTTTTTGTTTATTTAAACTTGGTTGGAGAAACTTGTGGATTTGGTGCTTCAAACCCTAAATGTGTCTTGGATGGCGCAGAGAACCTTGAAGAGTTAACAGCAAAATTCTGATGCTAAGATCTCTATTTTTATTATAACTGAAACTATATAGGGTGGGCGGGTGGGAGTGGGAGATGGGAGTGATATATTGAGAATCAACACCTATGATTGTTTTCTGCAGATTTCTAATTTTTTAAATTCTTGTTTAGTGATTGTCAAACTACAACTTTCACAACTCAAAATATTTTGTGTGCTAGTGCCAAAGTCTGCAGATTACTTTATTTTTTCCTCCTGATTTCCATGTGCTTGTCATTTTACACACTCAAATCCCCATAAATGAAGGGTATAATGGGCAATTCAGCCCAAAGTGCTGCTATAAGTCTTATTAATGCAGTCGGTTAAACCGATTAGTATTAGATATATACTGTTCCTTGAAAAGAAAAGTATCTCTCTTCTTTATCCAATTAGGTGAAATGTAAAGAAGACTAATGAAATAGGAATGGTTGTTATACAGTTAAGGAATGAGGGGGGCAATGGAGGATGTATATTTTGACTTGTAAAAAAAATCTTAAAATGCATGAGACATTTTTTCTGATAGTCATTTGCACTCTCCTCCCCATCTGTGATTCCTTTGTGTGTGAGCATATAAAGTAACCAGGAGAACTAGTTTTTGTCTCCAGAAATCTTCAATATGCAGCAAGAGCCCTAAAATCTGTATGTATTGGGATAGGAGAAAGAAACTTGTTTCATTTTTCTTGCTATTAAAGTTTGGGTAGGAACAAAGATTATTAGAAAATAAAATGCAAGAAATTTTGAAAAGCTTAGAGAGGCTGAAATTGAGCCTATTTTCTTTACAATATATAGAACCAAACCTCAGATTTACCAACCAGGAAACTGGCAAGCCTTTTAACCTTAGAAATTTGTCACAGACATGACATCTCAAAGAATACAATATTTCAAATAATTTAGATGTATCTTTCCCCCCCAAGTTTTGACTTGCTTATTTCAAATTCATTATGAGGACTTCCTATTCCAGGGTAAAATCACACACTAAAAGATTTTTAAAAATACATTATCTTAATAAGCAGACATATTCCTAAAGGATCAACTGCATGGAAAAAACATGTGTACACAGAGTATTTAATAAGCCAAAGATTCATACCCCTTTCTTCAGAGGGATAACTGCAGATGATATGATTTATCTGCAGAAGTGAGTAATCTTTAAAATGGATTCACTCTCTGCTTGAAGCTCCCCAGTCCAGATCCTCAGACAATAGATATGTTGAGCTGAAGTACACTGCTTGCCTAATGCACAGAACTTTGCTTTGGGTAATGACTATGGAAAATGTAGTATTCAAAAGTTCACATGTAAGCTAAGTAAAAAAGGAAATTTTAATCAACTGTTATACCTGTCACTGGAGTAAGATAAAAATTTTAGGCATTGGATAATCCTATACTTTTGCTGGATTCCCCAGGTTAATTTGTTCACTTTTTGTAACATTTCTCCCATGGAGGAATGTACACAGAGCATGGTATTTTTTAAAATTTTTTTTGTGTGTTATTAATATGTTGGTCTTCTGTTTATGCGGCTGTATTTTCTTGGGGCCTAAGAGGTAATTAAGTCAACTTCTAAGAGCCTTAGGGGGGGAAATTAATTGAAACAAATAGCTACTTACAAATGATTTCTTCATAGGGCACCTGCAATGATTGTGTCCTCATATTAACAAAACAAGGTCAATTTAGTCAAAGGGGTTGTTTGCCATTTTGTAAATTACCCACCTTAATTATTGCTTGACTATTTGGCTGAATTGACTGGATTTGGAGCATACTGTATCAAGTAAAAGCTTGCAAACTCTTGTAGTTATGAGATCTAGAATCATCATCCAGCATTGCACATGATTATGCAAAGTGTATTATTCATCCCAGGGGTATGCAGTTAAGACTGTTAAGCTCTTTTTCAGTTACTATTGCCTATAGCATAGTTTATTTCATAAACTAGACACGTGGCTTTTTTGCAGAACATAAAATGAGAGATGGAAATGTTTAACTTACATAGAAATGAAAATATATTTTCATTGTCTGTGGTAACAAATAACATATTTCCATAATGTTTAATTGCACAAAATTTCACACAGATATATGAATGTATACTCATCTAAAGATACCAATATTGTCTTGTATTTCTAGGAATTTTAGAGTTTCCTTTTAAAAAATGGACACTGCACCCGTGAATGAATGTTTATTGAGTTCAGCAAATTTCCTGCTGAACAATATTTGTCAGTTTTCCTCTCTATTATCTTAGTTTTGTCTTCTTTAACCAGGAAACCCTGAGAGGACTATAATTCACTCAGTCAAATAAGTGTATTCAATGGAGTTGCTGTGACTGAAAATTGCCTTTGGTATTCCACGTTTCAGCAAATGTATAACAAAAAGTGAAATTTCGGAAACTAATGAAATAAAAGTTCTTTTTGCGTTCTACAAATCATTGAATAGTGGTTAGTTTATTGGATTCTTGGATTGTATTTGGAAGTTCGAAACTTCTTGAGAGGATGACTGATAATAACTGAGTCCATGGGCAGACTTATCTGTGTCGTGGTGACTTGGGGATTTAGTGTCCAAGGGAAGAACTTAAAAGGAATTAAACAGAAATGTGTTCTCATGTCCTGCAAAGAGGGTAAGTCATGTCCTCTGTCACAAGTGTTTTCCAGACCAGCATTTTTCGAAGGAATGTGTAATCTCTAGGTAGGTAGTAAGATTCCAAGGTACTGTATGATGCTTAAAATACAAAATGAAGAAAAAAAGATCTGAGTTAGAAGTAGACTTGGGGGCAAGGGTGATTTATATGAAGACCAGTAAAGTATACAGAAGGATAGCTTTTGGAATAAGATTTTAGTTACGAATGAAGTAGGTTAAAACTGTATGGTTCTCTTTCCAACATATCATCTAATTGCAAGTTGTTGCAAAGGCTTAGAGCCTATACATGCAAAGTCCCTAACAAGATTCCTGACATTTTTCTTTATAAATTCAGAGATGGTACCTCCTCTTAGTCATTATTTCTCAGTGCCTCTTTTATGAATGCAAGACACCTATAGCCTAGAAATTCAGGGTTCTTTGGAAGAGGGTGGACTGGGGAACACCAACTAGCTTGAATGGAAAGAACTTGGATAAACTAGAAATGACTGAGGTTTGCAGACTTTTGTAATTATCTGACTTGGCTGGGGACATTCAGCTGAAAGGACAAAAGGGAGCACAAGAAATAGTTTACAGTGTCTCTAACGGCCAAGAAGAAATAACCAAATATTTAATTTCCTATAGAACTGTCTTATTCACTTTTAAATTCTCTTCCCCCTTTTCCTTGTCTAGAGATTTATGGATATCTTCCACAAATTCAAAGTGCATGGCCACATCCACATCTTTTCTCAGCACCTCATTTTCAACTTTTAAAATCCTTATAAAGCCATGATAACCAATAATGACAAATATGGTTTTTATTTTAGACGTGAATAACTGATTAGATAGCCAAGAATTTTAAAATTATATAAAAGGAAATTGTTGATTCAATGAGTATGTAAGTATAGGGGGCAAAAACCTCAACCTGGACACCTCCCTAGAGTTTTAGAGACAAAGGTTAGGGAAGAGTGTGAGAAGTGAAGCTTTGACAACTTTCTTCAAAACCCACCCTGGGATATTCCACCAGGGGGCAGAGTGCCTCTGAGTTGTTTAGCTGATGTGGAGCTCACAATTCACACTCTCTAAATCCTTTTTCCTGGACATTGTATAAGTGATATTAACATTTGCAGGCTCAGTAAAAACAAATCTCCATGAGTTTAGGAAAAGGAGGTTTATCACTGATACAAATTCATGGCAGAGGATTCCCTAACGCAAAACTAATTTTTTTCCAGTTCTGCAAACTTAGTTTTCTTAGTATTTTAAAACATTGTGGCTATTAATGTGACATTGACAACAACAGAGATTAAAAGACAAAGTATTTATTTCAAAATAAAGAGAAGTAGTTACTTAAAATCTTTCACCACTATTATTTTTCTCATCATTGTTTTCTTTTCAAAAATTTCATTGATTTGAGGATGATATATCCATGGTTAAAGGGCAGAACATTTGTCATTTGCCATTTATATACAGGTATTTTTTGTTTTTGTTTTTATTTTTTGCACAGAAGAAGGACATAATTACACGTCAGTTTTACCCCTAGAAGGCAAATTTTCAAGTCTGTGTAATTTGGGTATTTATTTTAAAAACAGGCATACAAAATATGGGTACAATCTTACATATCACAAAAATGGTTTTTGTACAAACAAAAGGATCTTTTAAAATGAGAAATGAATGTGGGGATATTATTGCCTTCCTCTGTAATATTGCTGCTACCCTTCAGCATCTTCACTAACTGCACTGGGGAGTTTTCTATGTGCCGTCTCACACATCTGGCAGTTAAATAAAACTTTCAAAGTCAACCACCACATATTAGGATCATACTAGAATTTTTAGTACCCCCTGAGAAAGACCCAGTCCCTGGAATTGGGCCAGCTGACAAAGAGCATGACTTAACTATTCCAAGTAAGTAAAGTTAAGTAAAGGAAAATACCCATTTCTTTTGACTGATTTACATATATCTTTAACGAAAGGAGACACCTTTTTTAAACTATTAACTGGAAATCCATATAACAAGAATAGTTTTGTAATATTTCCTGTACCAAAAGTGAACAGATGGTGATGAAGGAATTCATTTATGATAAGTGCTTTTAAAAATCTACACGTCTTACTTTAATGATGCAGGAAGGCATGACTCACATCCTCCCCAACACTGTGGGAATGTTCCACATATCAGTCTCTGGTTGGTCACCCTCATTGGTTTCAACAAATTTTAGAATATTTCTTGCTCACCAATATGGTGACCTTGTCAGGTGATGGGTCAGCAATGATAAAGAAGCCCACAAAGTGTAGGGTACTTGGTTGAAGAGCTGTGCTCAGTCCTGCTTTTCTCTTGTCTAAGCCCATTTGCTTTATCTCGTTTGTGATAGTGTCTGTGGGCCTGCAGCTGCCCTCCTCACTCAATCCCCTCTTCGCTCATTGAAAAATCTCAGTGGATGCAGCACCTAACTGATGTACTTTTGAGCAGAAGCAGTTTCCTTGTTCTTCATTTTTTCCATCTCAGTTTTTTTCTGGCCTTAAGGTCCTTCAGTCTCCTATCTTTTCCCTGTAATATTGCTGCTACCCTTCAGCACCTTCTCTAACTGCACTAGGGAGTTTTCTCTTGGCTTTCCCACAGAGTGTGGCATGTTGAGAACCCACTGTTGGCACGAAGGCCTCTGAGAGAAAGTCAAAGTCAGAAAGATCTGACTCTAAATCCATGTCCAGAAATTCTGACCAAGTTCCTCTGCAATATGATAATATAAATTTCTATGTTTCAGGTAGAAATGAAATACAAAAATTCCATTGTTTGTAACTATGATTGCATGTTTGATTTATCAAAAGAGCTTAAAAATCCTTTGGTCAGACCCTTTCTCAGACAGATTAAACTATATTATCTGAAGGAGCATCTGATACTTTAATTTTAAAACTTCAGATAACTTTAATGTGTGGCTAGGATAAGACACACTGACTCTCTATCTAGCTATATATATTAGTATAATCTTAGCACACACAGACTCTATGGGTGAGAAGGGGGTCCTTGAATAAAATGCAAAATCAAGTAGTTAAGGTGGTGCTTCTCAATATTTAAGGGAATATTA